TACATTTCTATATATTGCTTCGGACGCAGGCACAAGGAAGTTCGCAAACTGTTGGAGGGGAGCGTCACACGAAACAAACGAAGTCAAGTCTGGGATATGTTGGTTTCTCGCAATGAAATATGTAAAACGGATAACTCTAAATGCCCACAGTTTGCCTATTTTCCAAGGATCGAGGTTAAAACTTGCCAGTTTAAAAATTTCAAAAGTTACAACCCCGCCTTTTCCACATCCTATCCTAACCCTAACCTTTCGCTTCTTATTAACACATCGCCTCCCTCACCACTGGTTTAGATGACCCCACGTGTACAGCCACGATTCATCACCCTTTTTCCTTTCCCCGTCTATTCCACTTCACATCATCACGTGCCTTATCGCTCCTCGAGCTCCATGCGCCGTCACTACCTCTTCAGCTCTGCTCACGGTCTATCCTCTTTACGATCGGACCTACGATCCTCTCGCTCGGCCCCCCTCGCGGTCGGCCCTCTTCACGGTCAGTCCTTTTTATGGTCAGACCTTCGATCCTCTCGTTTGGCCCCCTTTGCGGTCGACTCTTCTCACGGTTTGTCCTCTTTATGGTCGGACCTCCGATCTTCTCGCTCGGCCACCCTGGCGGTCAGCCCTCATCTCAGTCAATCCTCTCGCTCAGCCACCTCCACGCCTGGTCATCCCCCTTGTCTTAAGCGGACCCTTTCCATTTTTCTTCTTATTCCCTTCGTTGGATTAAAGCTGCACTGGGAAATGGGAGACTACTGACATCGGTGGGCCCACAAAAGGTTTTGGCCCACGACTTAGAGCCCAATTCACGGTTCAGGTACTAAAGCCTAGCACCCTTGAGAACCCAATGTTGAACCAGGGACCAATGACATCTAAACACTTGTCAAGCAAGGAACCCACTACATAAGCAGACAAAGATCTTACAGAGTTATTGCACCACACATCAGCCATTAATGAGGCTCCCACAGCATTAAATGCGATAACCCCTTCACGTCAGAACATGCAACCTCACTGTGAACAATACAAGCTAGAGTATAGACTTTCGGCCAACACGACAGGTCGGAATGGATAAGGAAATAATGGACAAAGGATATAAGGAAGTTTCCAAGACACAAAAGGTTAGGTTCATCATTCTTCTTCTTCTCTCTCTCTCTCTACACAGTCAATCTCTTCCGTTCTAACTTGATCGTCGGAGGGTTCGCTGGGGGACTCCCATTCCCCGTCAAACCTTTTTGCAGGCACCGCCAGCAAGCTCCGCGACCAGTAAAGGTGTTGAAAGCGTGGGTTTGCCCGACTCGTCCTTCGTTGGATCTACAGCATCATCAATTATTATTATTTATAAAGTTTATCATTAATATGTAATTTTATTTTTTAATTTTGCTCTAAATTTTTGTTTTTTATATAATATATATATATATATATATATATATATAATTTGTTAATAGAAATCACTTTTAAAAATAATTATCTATTTATATATTCAATCTCGTTTGGGGAGTGTAGTTTGACCTATTTGTTTTGAGAAATGAATGTTGGGATTGGATTAAGATAGTGAAAGGGACTATTATAATGGTGTTTGTTTTTGAAATATAGGAGGAGATATCTCTTAGGCCCGTTTGTTTTCAGAAGTAGAATGGAGGGAATTCATAATAAGAAGATTGATAGTGAATGGATTGTTAGTGAGAGGATTAAGTAAAATTGTGTTTGTTTTGATGATAGTTGTTGGTGTAGGGATTGTTAAATTATTTTTATATAAATAATAAAACAAATAAAAAAATAGAAAAAACATTAAACATTAATGTTCAAAAAAAATGCCTAATATGTAAAAAGATAAAATAAAATAAAATAGAAAAAATGTAAAATAAAACAATGATTTTTACTTAATAAAAAATACAAAAAATTAAACATTAATGTCCAAAAAAAATGCCCAACATGTAAAAAATTAAAAAATTAATAAAAATAATCCGACAGGCTATTTTTCTAATATCACCTCCACCACCTTCTCCATCTCAATCCCCCTTCCAAGGCTCAACCTAATCTAGACCTCCATCTCAATCTCTTCTCCAAATCTGCAAACAAACACAATATTAAATGGATCCCATCTCTATCCTAATCCCATCATTCCCTCTATACTTCAAAACAAACAGGGCCTTAGGATTATGAAAGGAGTGGTGTGTTGTGTGTGATTAGCTTAAAAAAAGGATTGTTTTGTTCATCTTATGTGTTGTGTTTGTGTGCTTTTTTTTTTTTTTTTTTTGTTGACTTAAATGTATTATGTAATTTCTTTCTTTTTGTATGTTATTTGAGTGAGAATTTGTACAGCCATGACCATATCCATTTGTAAATGGGTCAAAGAAAGGTAGAAATTGATTTTTTGGGTCCAACATTATCATCCAAATTCAAAAGAATATGTTTAATTTAGGTCTATATTTTGCATATTTTTTAGTACAGGGATAATTCTTCTACTCTCTCCACTCCCCCCCCGGTCTCATATGCAAAATCTGCAATCACCTCAAACTGAAATCCTATTGTTGAAGCATATCATGCAGTCCAATTCTCTTGATTCATGAACAATCCAATATTCACCTCGGGGGCGCAGGCATGCTTATATACCTTCTGAGCCCCATATCCACTCCCAGTCTTCTCTTGACACGTGGCTCTGCTATCCCATCTGTTAGCGTAAACCTTGCCAATCATCACCTAATCTTAACTGCCTGACTTCACGGCTGGAGCTCGGCAGCCGAGCTGCTCTACCACGGGCATGCCATGCTTCATACCCAAGCGCCTAACCGGATAAACACATGGAGGACCGGGCTAGGCGGCATCCCGGCAGTGCCTAGCCCGGGTAACTCCTTTGGTCGGCCTTTCTGCCGGTCAAACAGTCTCCTCGGTTGACCACGCCTTTCCGGGCGCCGGTCACTCAGCTTGTCTGGCTTCAGCCATCCCCTAATCAGGCAGCTCGGTCCAACCAGGCGCTATCTAGCCGAGCTCCATCTTGGACCGAGGTGACTCACACTTGGCCCAAGTTCTTCTCGGCTCAAGTTCTGGCAGCCCACTTCTTGGCAGATGGCCAATCATCTCGGCCCCATGCACCGTTGGGCTCTCAATCTGCTCGGCCATTACTTCGGCCCAACTCTTGATCATAAATCACCCTCTCATATATATATATAAACACATGAAAATAAAACAATTTCATCATCTTTTACGTTGGAAGTAAGTATATTCTTTATTATACCAAATTAATAAGAAATCATTTTTCACATTCTACATATGGAAAAGAAGTAATGAACAAAAAGTAGTATATATTTTAGAAAACTCTATTAAAACACAAATTGAAATAGAACACCTAAAATTAAAAAGTCTAAAGGTTAAGAAAATAATAGCTATAAATCCATTGCTTTTATCTTATCATTAGATACCAAGTTATTTTATTCAAACTAACAATCTATTTCATGTGTCTAAACAATGGACACATTTATGGAAAGTCCCCAACACATCATTCCATACATTAATAATCTTGCCAGCAACCCTTAGAAACGAAAAAATAAAAATCAAAGAGCATAATCACTGCTGGAAATTTGACTCATCAGTGCCAAACCCAGAAAACATTATCTCAACTCTCAACCAGAGAGAGAGAGAGAGAGAGAGAGAGAAGAATAAGAATAAGACGAAGATATAGCTATGCAAATGAGCATTTGTAATGATACAGTTCTACATATCACTGGATTTATCTGATACTTTGACCGCATTTAAACCTGCCAGAGTCAAAAACAAAGACACAAGGAGAAAAAAAAATATAGGAGTCCCACCCTACCCCAACCATAATACATACTTTACAAAATCATCTCTTAACAAATTCTTTGAGGGACCTTTCATATTTGTTGTCATTGATGGTTTCCAACCCCATCCTATTCTAAGCTCAAATCCTCTGGCCTCAACTGTTATTTTAGCTTCCAACACCATATCTCTCTCCACCCATTGCTAATGTTCATCGAAGCTCAGCTGTGTCAACCCATTAAACATAGTGAGTGCAATATAGCAAATGCATCCAGTAACTTGGCCCATACTATCCCCAATGTGACGGGTTTGGGGAGGAACTCAACAAGGTTGGGGAGGGTTAAGGCCGCTAGGTTCAATGTTTTATAAACTACAACAGATAGAACTGGTCAACTCAACTCAACTCTCATTGTATTTCTTATAAAAAATTCAAGGGGTGCAACTGTACCACAGTCACCAACTCCAACTCCATACTTTATAGAGATATTATCTCCATGTTGATAATATCATTTTAAAAGCAACATTTTATTAGAACTGGTGCTATAGTATCCCTGGAATAAATAAAAATTAAATAAATAAAAAACCGTAGGAAAAGCAATAAATAAAACAAAGGAGACTACTAACTCTTGAAGACAAATGAGTATAGCATGATTCAGTCTGTTTAGAGCCAGAGCATCATAGTCCAGACAGATAACAAAAAATATCTCGACGGTATTCCTCTTACAAAGTAGCATACTAGAAATAAGCTTTGCGTATAGGAAATAAACTTCGATGACAGCCACATTTCGCCCATAAACGAAGAAGATGTGAAGTCAGCTGCTGCTTATGTGCTTTTCTATAGGAGGGTGAAAACAGATTTGGATGCAAGTGAGTCATTCGAGGGCTTCTTCAAGGTTGGCAAATTTTGGTCCAACTTTGAGCTAGTATAATTTAAAAAATAGATTTGGATGCAAATCAGCACTCAGAAATATATATATTTGATTTGATATTGTTTATTTCTCTACATGTTAATCACTTCTAAGGAGTACTCCATCAATGACAAAACCAGTACTTCACATCTCTCTTTTCTACATGTCATCTATTCTTTTATTTGTTGAATTGACTCACTAGTAAACATTAAGCAAACATCATGTCTTAATAGATTTAGAAAAGTGAGAAATTAAAAACTAGTGATGTTAGTACTTTTACCTTGTTAGTTCTTCTTCTTCTTCTTTTTCTTCTTCTTCTTCTTCTCTTTCTTTGAAAGGTAAACCTATATTTAATCAGAACAAGTATTTTAATTAATAAGATATTGTATTGTCAAAAAAGCTTTGATTAAATGATTGCTCACCTCTTGGGATGTAATGTCTAATTATACCTCCACTCGAACTACTGAGAAAGGCTTTCGGCCAGTTCTATGATGTAGTGTCTTCTTCTTCCGGATTTTTCTATTCTTCTTGCTTGATTTCTGTTAAATATGAAATCCATTTGAGATATTATCAAAAATTATCATATAAACATTTTTTCACATAAATAAATTGTACCGATGCACTCTGAGTGCCCCAATAGTAGACCAAGGCCCGCCACTGATCCTCATGTACTCTATCCGGTCGATGAGCCAACCTTTCTGCATCAAAACCTTTTAAGCACTAAACTTAAAACCAAACCAAGCCAAACTTACAGCTAACAAGTAAGCATGTCAATGTGCTAGGGAACTGAAAACAGAAAAGCATTAAGACAATGCCATGGATGATTGAGATGTGATGAAAAAAAACAAGACAAAAGGTTGGAAATTTTTGTGTTCAAAGAACAAAAACAAACTTCATAGAATTTCAATAATGAGTCTCTCATTTAAGGGTAATCAAATACAGGGATTTTACAAAGCTCAAGACTCATTCCTGGTCATTTGTGAATGAACACTTTCCCTTCACCTTCAGTGACTCCCTAACAATTACAGACACCAGCATAACAAAAAAATATGTATGTGGGGGACCAGAAAAGCACTGTTTTCCACATTTTAGATAGCTCTCACCAAGTGAAATGAGCCAAACGATAGAATATAATTATACTGATATTCTTTTTAGTAAAGTTAAAGAGACCATTATCCAAAAAAAATTTAAAGAGATAAAAATAATACAGATGATATGAAAACACAAATATAAACCGGTAAAATATATATTTTAATGTAAAATAAATGACAATATTATTTTTTCATTCATATTACTAACAAATTTATAATGAAAATGGAATTAAAGTTATATGAATTAAAACCTTAAGGAACTTAATATAATTATGTCAAACTTGTGAAATTTAACATATTTTTTTCCAACTTCAAGAGTGTAATTTATCCTAATAATTAGTATAAATATTTTTATGTGATTTAATTATATAATTTCTTTTAAGTTGAAGCTAAAAATACTCTAATTTTTAAAACACTTTTAACATAGATTCTCAAACAAAAAATAATAACTTACAAGCAGCTGAATAATCTATACCATCTACAAATCTCTGTATACTCTTCTGTATGAAAATTTTCATTGAATAATGTAAAAATCTTTAAGTACAATAATCTTAAAATATGATACAATAATTATGAGTATTTTAAGATAGGATATGACGGAATTTACACTAAGTTTAAATCATGAGGTGAGGTGAGAAAAAAAATAATAATTATAATTTCTCACTTAGGCTAGAAAACAAAAGAAATATTTATGATTTTTCATCATTATATTTGGATTAATAAAAGAGAAAAAAAAAATGATTCCTCACTAAATTTCATCACTTTTGGTGAGAAACAAAATATAAATTTGGTGAGAATACTTTTTTCACTATCTCTCATCATTTGTTACTATTTCTTACTTAATTAACCATCCAAACAAGTAATGAAGTTTTCTATTCTCACAATTTTTATTTTTATTTTTATATTTTTTTTTGGTCCTTACCAAAATTATCGGTCAATTAATTAATGAACTCCTGCGAAACCTGAAAGAAAAGAACTATTAAGCATGTTGACAATGACATAATGGAGGTATATCAATCTGTTAAAACTTCTACATCAAATCCACAAACAAGTTTCTATAAGAACCAACAAAAATCTGCAGACAAAAAAGCTCTTAACATGGTTGGGGGGGGGTGTAAAAGGATAAGCATTATCCTTTAGGAGTATGAATCCTAGGAGGACTCTGCATGGAGAAATAAAAGTCCTACTAGGATTATGCCACTCGAAACCTATAAAAGCTCACAAGCATCACCTTGGAGGAGGTAATTGAACACAATTCTTTCTGAGAACATAAAACTTTGTCTATTTGTCAAGCTTACTGACTTAGGCATCGGAGAGGTTTCCGGCACACACCCGCCGGCTAGCTCACGTTTGTGTTTTCAAGTGGTAAAGCGACGTCGTACGGAGGAACGTGGACTTGGTCAACAGGATTATACGAGGAGAATTATTTCCTCCCCGTACAGTATGGATGAATATTTTAGTTATTTATATTTTATATAGGGAGAGAGAGTGAGAAGGCTTAAAGAGTGGGAAGGGAGGTAAAAGAAAATGCCATGTAATATTTTTATTTTCTTCAAAATTATGAGAAATTAGGATTCAAGTTTTAGAGCCTTTTAACTTAACAACTACATTTGGTTATATATATAATATAGATAGATAGATATAGATTGTCAAAAAAATTACCATCTTTTTGAGATTTATATTAAAAAATTTATCATCTTTTTGGGATTTATATATATTTAATCTTTATCTTTATTTGTAGGTCATGAAATTAATTTTTATAAGTTATTTATCAACTTTTATATGTTTATTTATGGGAAGAAATTTTAAATTAGCTATAAGTTATGAAATTAATTGTTTAATTTTTATATTTATCTGTAGACTATAAAATTAATTTTCAATTTTTATATATTTATCTATATGGAGGAATTTTGAAATTCAAATCTTTATCCATAAGCAATGAAATTAATTTTAATTTTAATTAATCAAACAAATAGAAAATGAAGAAAAATAGAAAACATGAAAGGCAATCAAAGAAGGTTGCCACGTAAGAAAGAAATAGTTTTAAAATTATGAGAATTTATGAATAAATATTTGGAGACTTTTGACAAAACAACTATATTTGGTTATATTTGGTTATATAATATAATATATATATATGTACGGGGAGCAAATATTCCGGCAAGCCCGTATTCCTTTCTTCCGAGCTCCGTCGATGTCCGTTCACCTGCGAGTAAGTAATGGTGAGCTACCCGGCGGTGTGTGGCCGGAAAAACCCTCCGACGGTCAAGTTAGCACACACCTTAGGATGGAATCTCGGCTGGAACCTCGCAGTTGAGCAAATCATCAACTCTTCAGCCGGAGTAAGACATCTCGGCTGGAACCTCGCAGTTGAGCAAATCATCAACTCTTCAGCCGGAGTAAGACATCTCGGCTGGAACCTCGCAGTTGAGCAAATCATCAACTCTTCAGCCGGAGTAAGACATCTCGGCTGGAACCTCGCAGTTGAGCAAATCATCAACTCTTCAGCCGGAGTAAGACATCTCGGCTGGAACCTCGCAGTTGAGCAAATCATCAACTCTTCAGCCGGAGTAAGACATCTCGGCTGGAACCTCGCAGTTGAGCAAATCATCAACTCTTCAGCCGGAGTAAGACATCTCGGCTGGAACCTCGCAGTTGAGCAAATCATCGCGCCTAACCGGATAAACACACGGAGGACCGGGCTAAGCGGCATCCCGGCCGAGCCTAGCCCGGATACTTACTTTGATCGGCCTTCCTGCCGGTCATACAACTACCTCGGCTGACCACGCCTTTCCGGGCGCCGGTCACTCGGTCTGTCTGGCTTCGACCATCCTCGGACCGAGCAGCCTGGTCCGATCGGTCACTTCCTGGCCGAGCAGTTTCTGTACGGTCCGGGGTGGCACACAGTCCAAACTCTGCCCGGCCCAAGTTCTGGCAGCCCCTTTCCGGGCGGATAGTTGATCAGCTCGGCCCCATGCACCGTTGGGCCCTCAACCTGCTCGGCCGTTACCTCGGCCCAACTCCAGATCATAAATTACCCTCTCAATTGCCCCTTAATTCCGTCCGCGAAAGCGTGACTGGGATTACTCACTTCGACCGAGATGACGTTTCCCCGGTTCCCAAGATGCCAAAGCTTCACCGAGCTAATCTGCAATCCTTCCCCGGTCATGTTCCTCGGCTTACAGCCTTTTCGTCGAAAGTAGCTCGGTTGGCTCTTCGTCTCTTCAACCCGTCGCTTCAGTCCTGACGTAGCCATAAATGGTGACACGTGGCGAGCTCCCATTGGTCATCGAGAAGCCAACCCGCCGTTTTTGTCAGATTTTGAATTTGGGCGGACTCCTTCCTGCCTATACATACAAGGCCTCCCCAAACTCACTTTCCTCTTACTGCCATTTTGCTATTCGACTCTAGAGCTCCTGTGCCTTCATCCAGACTTTGCCTCCATTCTTGGTGCTTGAAGGAGCAGCTTCTGCCTTTCAGAGGTGAGACCTTTAACCCATCTATAGTTACTGTTTTCTTCCATATTGTATACGTTAGGACACAAAAACGTAGCTCTTAGGGCATAGGCCATAGAAAATGTCCTCAAACCTCCCACTGTTCTTGGGTGTTCTTCGTCTTCTTGAAGAACACTGAAGAACTGGGGCGAACCGGGCTCTTGGTCTTCTTTTGATCTAAAAAGTCAATCAAACCGGGCAAATAACAAGTTTGTCGCAATCCTAGCAAAAACCGAGATCATGAAGGGACTTGGTCGCTCAACCGGGCTAACATCTGGTCTGCTTGGGCGACCGGGTTCCTTAATTAGATTAGACAACCGAGGTGGTTTGGCACTCTAAATGACCGAGCTAATGTCCAGCTCCTTTTGCGCGACCGCGCTCGCACTTACACTTGCCATCCTTTTCCTGCAGAGTCCAAGGGGACCACTGTCGTTCCTGAGTCACTCAGAACTGAGCAGCGACCAATTACCTCAGTGCTAAACCCTTAGACCGGGCTATACCAAGCCGGCCAGAAATGGGGAAATTCCGCTTCCTAGTGGATACTCCGGCTGCGCTGGCTGCGTTCAGGGAGGAGTACGACGTCCCGGCCGATGTCCACCTGGAGCTCGCAGAAGTGGAGACCACACCTTGGGGTAGGGGGGAGTGCCCCTTCACCGTGCTGTCCATCGTCGAAGGGGGCCTTCGTTTCCCACTCAATCCACTGATAACCGAGTTCTTGCGCCGAACCGGGCTGGCACCCACCCAAGTGTCCACCAACACTTACCGGATAATAAACGGCGTGCACGAGCTAAACAACCGGTTGGGTATAAGCCTAGGTTTAGCCGAGATCCTACGCCAATACACCCTGGGCCACACCGGCAACGGTCTCGCCTATTACCTCAAGATTAGACCAGGCAGAGAGAAAATCGTAACCGGCACACCAGACAAGGATCTTCACGACGATGATTTCTTCTGGGTGTCTGGCAACTACGAGACAGCCGAGGTACCGGGCTGGATGATTAGCAAAAATATTGGGAGCACATGTAAGCCGCGCAAATTATCCCGGTCTATACACTTTCTCGATTTTTCTGTAGTTTAATCATTCTCTTGTTTCTTTTGCAGCCATCCAAGCCTTGCAAGCTAACTATAATTTCCCCAACGTTGAGGCAATCAGGACCGCGCTTCGCTACCGCGACCGAGATTGTAACTAACTCCTCGGCTACAGTCCCACATATAGATACTTCGCTCCCCGCCGGAGTAAAGTGACTGACTTCCTCCGAGCTCCAACACCTCCACCGGATCCTACTCTGCCAGACGTTCCCCTCATTCGCCTGACCGAGGAACAAGAAATGGCCAAGCGTAGCAGAATCAAGAACTTGCTCACCGCCACATCCGCCGAGGTGCCGAGCGTCGTAACCCGGTCTCCAGCCGCCGGTCAATCCAGTGGTGCAGTGGTCGCCCTTGCCTCTCAATCCACCGGGCAATCCAGCCAAGAACCATCTGCGCGGCGCGCCGGAAAAAGAGCTCGGGTAGACCCATCTGCTGAGTTAGTCGCTGAGCTGACTACTGAGCATCCAACCGACGCCCCCGCCCCAGTACCGGCCTGGCGCCCCCACTTGAAGCACCGGGGTCAAGATATCCCGACAACGGCTTCGATCAAGGCTGACAAAGAGCATCTGCTCGCCTTCGATCTGTCCAAAGCGCTGTTGCTACCGAGCGACGTGGTCGGCAGCGACCACGTCCCTGACACTCGGTTGGTCAA